CTTTCTGGCACTCAAGATAAGCCTCTAACCCTCCTCCCCATTGGCAGATGCCTCAAACATTTTGCAGACCAATGGGAATCGTCTACTTCTGATGCCTGGGTTAGGGACACCATCAAATTCGGCCTCTCCCTTGAATTTCGCTTCACCCCCCCAGAGCATTTTATGATATCCCCTCTCTCCAAAGATCGCACCAAGTGTGATCTAAAGATGCCGCTATCAAACATCTCATTGAAATCAAAGCTATTCAGCCCGTCCTGCCCTCACAACGAGGAAGAGGATTTTACTCTCACTTTTTCATAGTTCCCAAACACTCCGGAGGGTGGAGGCCCATACTAGATTTGAAGATGCTTAACCGATACATTATCCGGCATAAATTTAAGATGCACACACTACAGTCTCTTCTTCAGGGTACCAGGAAGGGAGACTGGCTCACTTCTATTGACCTCTCAGAGGCATACCTGCACATCACCATTCGACCCTACTACTTCAAATTTCTGCGATTTTGCTATAACAGTCAACACTTTCAGTATGTGGCCCTTCCCTTTGGTTTGGCCTCGGCCCCGAGGACCTTTACCAAGGTTCTTGCGGCCCTAGCGGCTCACCTTAGAAATTTCCCCATCCGTATTCACTGTTATCTGGATGACATTCTTATCATGTCTCCTTCCAAACGCCAAGCAGGAAGGGACACCAGAACTACCCTCTCTGTTCTCCAGGCACACGGCTTTCTTGTAAATTGGGAAAAAAGCCAGTTATCTCCATCCACCCGAATAGCACACCTGGGGACAGTGATTGATTCGGTTAAGGAAAAGGTCTTCCTGTCCCCTGAAAGATTTCTCAGCATCCAGAAATCGGTCAGGGAGATCAGACGAGCAAAGAAGGTAACATTACTGGACCTGTCAAAACTACTTGGCAAATTGATTTCATGCATTTCCATTGTTCCCTGGGCCCTTTTGCATACCAGATCCCTCCAGTGGTTCCTGCTTCCATATCAGCGATCCGGCAAGAGCAACTCAAAGGCCATGGTGAAGGTTCCTCCAAGGGTTCTCGCATCTCTCCTCTGGTGGACCAGACCTACCATCAACAAAGGACATTACTTCAAGGAGCCCCAGAGGGTCACCCTCACCACAGACACCAGCCTATCCGGATGGGGCGCTTACATCCACTCGCTCTCAGCTCAGGGCACATGGTCAGCAACCGAGAAACGGTGCAGCATAAATTGGCTGGAGCTTCACACTGTATTCCTGGCCCTATGCAGTTTCCTCCTTCAGGTATGCGGACGTTACGTCCTTATTCTGACAGACAACATCACAGCCAAGGCTCACATCGACAGGGGGGCACACATTCCTTCCAAATTCGGCTCATGAGGGAGGCCGAGCGTCTCTGTCGCTGGACGGAGGCCAACCTCTTATCCATCAGGGCAGATCACATCTCGGGGCCCTCAAACATTCAGGCAGACTAGTTGAGCAGGGCCACTGTAGACCAGTCAGAGTGGCGCCTGCACCCCTCGCTGTTCAGGGAGGCCTCAGCAATCTTCGGCCAACCGCTCTTGGACCTATTCGCATCACCGCTCAATGCCCAGCTCCCGAGATTCTTCTCGAGGTACCCCGCTCAGGGGGCAGAGAATCACAACACCCTATGTTGTCCCTGGCCCACAGGGCTCCTATACGCATTCCCCCCACTACCGTTAATCCCCAGAGTAATCCAAAAGCTGATTCACGAGAGGGCGGAACTCCTCCTGGTTACCCCATACTGGCCCAGGATACCGTGGTTTGTGGACCTTCGCAACCTGTCAGTGACCCCTCCCTGGAGGATTCCACCAAACAGGATCTCATTATCCCAGGGACCTCTCCTGCACCCGAACCCTCAGTGGCTTCAATTAGCTGTCTGGAGGTTGAGCGGGACCGCTTAAGGAAAGAGGGGTTTGCCAATCAGGTCATCGAGACCATTCTGGCAGCAAGACGACCCTCAACCACCCAGATATATAATGCCACATGGAGCATTTTCTGTAGATGGTGCCACAAATCGCAAATTGATCCACTCTCTCCATATATTGCTCAAATATTGGCCTTCATGCAAGAGGGTCTAGATAAAGGTCAATCCCCTAACACCTTGAGATGACAGATTGCAGCCTTATCAACTGTCATCTCCTATGGCAACATTGGTTCGCTCTCACACCATCCTCGTATCCGAGCATTCCTTAGAGGAGCCACCAACTTGCATCCTCCAGCAGTACACTGATACCCAACCTGGGATCTAAATAAGGTCCTCACTTCACTTACTAAACATCCCTTCGAACCCCTAAGGGAGACATCTCTTCAATTCCTAACATTGAAGGTAGTGTTTCTTGTGGCAGTCACATCTGCACGCCGGATATCTGAAATCGCAGCTCTATCCGTTAGAAGGGATCTCTGCATTTTTCACGCTGACCAGGTGGTCCTACGACCAGACCCTTCCTTCCTGCCCAAGGTTAACTTAGCATTTCACAGATCGCAGGAACTCATTCTTCCTAACTTTTGCCCTAGACCCTCTCCAGAGAGGGAAAGACAGTGGCATACCCTCGATGTCAGGTGTGCGCTACGTATTTATATCAACTGCACATCTTTCAGGAAGTCGGAGTCGTTATTCCCTTCATTTCAACCTAAGACGCTGGGTTTCAAAGTATCCCTGTCAACTATAGGCCGTTGGATCAGAGCAACAATCTCCAAGGCCTACTTAACACAAGCACTTCCTGTTCCCAGCGGAATAACCGCACATTCCACAAGGAGTGCGGCTATCTCAGCAACTTGGGCTACTCAGGCATCGATAAACGACATGTCGAGCGGCCACCTGGTCGTCCCTGTCACCCTTCATTCGTCATTACAAGATCGATGTGTTTGCCTCAGCAGATGCATCCTTTGGCAGATGAGTCCTACAACAAGTTGTCCGAGATCCAGAGGAGATTCTGACCCAGATAGAGTCCCTCCCGTAGGACAGGCCATGCTTTGGTATGTCCCACTCTGGATGCTCAGAGCAGCTCGATGGAGAATGGGCATTGGTGCTTACCTGATATGCCCTTTCTCGGCGAGCTGCATAGAGCATCCAGCCCCACCCTATTTTAACTGTCTGGTGGGGAATCCTGTTTCGGCCAATGAATCAATGAGTCAAGGAGTTAATGTTTATTACAATAGTTAAGATGAGATGATTGTTTGTCTTCTCGTCTTTGTAAAACTGGGGAACGCTACAGAGGAGTCACGTGGTGGAGGAGGAGCGTTCCTCAATTAAAGCTCCGCCTGTGAGTGCAGAGACTGGAGCACCTCCCACTCTGGATGCTCTACACAGCTCGCCGAGAAAGGGCGTATCAGGTAAGCACCAACGCCCATTTTCGGGACAAGGAGTCTGTTTCTTGGTTTTGCTAAGCCTGGGTCAGAACAACAAGCTTACCATCAGATTGCAAGAAGATAAGTGAGCAGTCAGATGAGACCCAAGCTCATTAGTAGCCTCACGTTGCAGTAAACAAGAGCATACATTCAATTTCGAGGCTACTAAGATTATTGGCTGTGCAGGTGCAAAGATAGGGAAATGATTGAAGCCTGGGAAACAGGCTCCTTGTCAGTTAAAAGGAGTGCTGATTTACCACCAGCTTATCAGTACTTTGGAACTAAAGACAGCACAGGGAAACAATAGCCAATCACTGCCCATCAACACGCCAATCAACCAGTAGGAAGGCACCACATAAATATGATGCATAAAATAGCCAAAACACATACTCTGGTAGATGGGCTCCAGCATGAATCTGAAAGATTGGAGATCTAAACCTGTGATTCTGGTAACCAACCCAGATTGGATTAGAATTTATATCTTTATTTAAGTTTCACTGTTTTTATTTAATCTGTTGGGCTTCTGCTGCTTTAAAATTATTTAGCAAGATTTCTCCTGCCATCCATTAGCTTCTGTAACATATTTCAAGAATTTTCCCTAACCCTCAAAAACTTTTTGCAATAGCTCTAGGGGACATTTCATGATTCACAATGGAAGTGGAAATGTTTTCCTTGGATCAGTAAATAGGGCTAAAAAAACCCTACTGAGTTTCTCCAATTTGAGTGATCATCATATCTAATATTTTTTAAACCCCCTTTTTCCCTTTCATATCTTCTTTCGCTCATTTTCCCCATTCATTTTGGTTCGTGTAGGCATGTAATGGAGGAGATAGGAAGACCTGTGGATTGCAGTTAGCATTATCCTTTGATTTGCACAGCCACAATACGATCCAATGATTTTCAACTATTTTTTTCTTCAAAGCAATCAATATTGTGAGGCCAGCCAAATGGTATTTGATGACAAGCCCTTAATTTATAAAGGCCGTAGCAAATTCTGTTCTTTCTACTGTTGAACAGTAGAAACAGAATGGATGCTATACAGGAAAGGATCAGTTTGAAAAACTGTAAGGCTATATGGCACAGTAGGAATGCCAGAAGGTATATAACAAAGTACAAAAATATTGAGATTTAGAAATACAATATTAGACATTTAATATTTTTATGTTAAGTGACTAATATTGTATTTCTAAACCTCAATAAAATGGTAAAATGCTAAAGCAGCACAGACAGTTGATGATATTTTGCAGTTCATGGATATCTGTCAAGATACTAATGTTTGCTATGGGATAGCTGTGGCACAAAGGAACTTGTGTCTACATCGAGTAGCATATACAAGTAGTCTTAGACTTATGAGATGTTTGTTAAATGAGTTTTGCCCCATTTTACAATCTTTCCTTATTAAGTTATTAAGTCAATTATTACAGTTGTTAAGTTAGTAACATGGTTGTTAAATAAATCTTCCCCGTGGTTTAGTAATAGTTTAGTAACCATTGACAGTTATAACAGTGATGAAAGTGATGAGTGTAAGAACAATGTGTCTCAGTCTTGGTTGCTAAACAAAGATGATCAGTATCTGTTCTAGATATGAAAAATTCATAGTGTATTGCTGTGTTACTAACAGCATGTTTTTTTCTTGATTATCAGAAAGAACAGACCAGGTGGAAGTTTAAAAAGGACAATATCTTTTTTTCCTTACTATCACCAGATAAAATGGAAAAAAATTCAGGTGGGTGATGTTTTTTAATTACTTGTTATTTGAATATATGTTTTAACATAATTTAAAAATTAATGCTAATTGCATTTTTCAAATACAAGAAATATCAGGCTATTTATAGATACGATTTAAAATGTGGAAGTAATGATAGTTTTAAATCTGTTTCATTTCTTTAACCATCAAATAGACTGGAGAATATTTTTTAATTAATTAAACAAACAAAATTGCTATTATTTAACACGCATTTTTGGCAAATAATTTGTTTAAACTAATTTACTTTCAACACCTGTCAACACAATTTTGGCACTGCAAAACAATTCTGGCGTTCTATCTGATTGAGAGAAGTGTTTATTTTAATTAAGAGTAATTCATAATTAGCCTTTCATCAATCATTTTCTTCACTATAGGCAAATTTTATACTATTTCTCATTATAAGAAACTAATCGTTTATGTATATGCTGCACATTATTCTGGGCAAAATGCAATTAAGTTTGTGGTTTCGTTTGATGTATATATCCTACTACTATCTTAGCATGCTTTTTGATCATCTTATTAAGCTATCATATGTTTTATTTGTTTAGATATAACAACAAGATATGTGAACATAACAAATGTGTTCTATTAAACCCAGGTACAAGATTAATTGTGTTGAATAAATCCAGCTACTACCTCTAAGAAGACCTTATCTTTACTGAGCAATAGATTAGTCTATCAGACCAGTTGAAGATGGGATGGAAAGATAATTTTAGACCAAATCTGAAAAGGCAAACATTTTAGAACATATTTAAATGTACTCTTGAGTTGCTGACATAGGGAAAATACCATCAATTTTGTATGGAGATAGATGGAAATCAAAGATGTATAAGTCATTAAGCAGAACAGTGGTTATGTGGGAGTTTGGGGAAGCTCTTAGAGGCCTAGTGCAAGTCCACTCTAGCCTTTAAAAGGCCTCCGTACCCCAACATTTGGGTCCTCCAAGCCTTCCCCTTCTCCTACAAGGCTTTTTCCCCACTCCCACTGTATCCCTGCAATCCTTAGGCCTGACTCCCACCCCACCAGACAGCACAGCCTCCTCCTCCGTACCTTTTGAAGAACTCTGAACCTCATGTTGGTGAAGGAGAGAAGGACATGCATCTCTCGGCTGCCTGAGTGTTGTGGAAGTAGCCACAATTTTGACTGTGCCTGGGATTCATCCCTGGGCCATGTGGTGAACTTGTGAAAGCAGCTGCCATTTGCCATGTCTGCCTCTGGGTCAAAATGGTAGCTGCTTCTGGGTCATTGTCACATGGGATGGTATAAGGCTCCTGTCTTGAGCATTGGGTTGGACTAGAAGACCTCTAGGGTATCTTCCAAGCCTATAATGCTGTGTTTCCAAATGTATCACAAGCAAGTCATACTTTTAAATTAGATTGTAAGAAAATAAATCTATCCTAAGAAAAATGTATCAATAAATTTGTCAGTTATAATTTAAGGTAATAGCAGTAGAGAATTGTTTTTTTTATCTCAAAAAAAATGATAATGTTGCATGTATTTTCTCTGTCTTATCAATAAAATAGGCAACCAGGCATCAGAAGAAATTAAGGAAAACCATATTGAGGTGTGCTTAGGATCATCAATCCTTCTGGTTGAAAGTGGAGAAGGAGAAGAAAAAGGAGAAGGAGAAGAAAAAGGAGAAGAAAGAGAGAAATCATGTGCAGAACAGTAAATTACTTCATATTAAATATTTCATGAAAGTATTTTATTCCTGTCCATGTTAGTGTAGATAAATGATCAATTGTTGAGAGAAAGGTTAATTGGTTTTCCCCATGTTTTGGTAATTAATGTGGTATGGGCCTAGGTCTTGCCTTGTAAGACACAGAAAGTGTCTTACAAAGTTAAAGGATATGGGCGATAATTAGTACATTTCCCAAAGGATTTGAGAAAATACTGTATGTGCATAGTTTTTCTTTAAGGGTTAGAAATTTAAAACAATTATTAAGAACATTTAGAAAATCCTGACTGAATGGTTTAATTCTCTTCCCATATAGATGTGCTTTAATTAAGAAGCATTTTATTTATCCCAAAATTTTACCAAGTCTAAGGGTTTTTCTGCAGGAAAAGAAACAGAAGAGTGATGTATTGAAGGATCAGGTTCTAAACAAATAAAAATGTCAAGACTTATGTTATTATTATAAGCCATGAAAGTGTTCCAATAGTACAATGAGATTTGAATGCCGTTACTTAAAGAGCAGCTTTATATAAAAGATTTTGGCATTTGTAATTGAAAGCAAGCTAGTCATATTTTTGCTGTGACATTTAAAGTGACTGAGTTGAGAAAACAGCAGAATTGTGTAAAATGGATTGAACTTGTTTGTTGCTGTTTTAAACCAATCACTTTGTTCCCTAAAAAGTACAGAGAATGTGTAATATGCAGCTCCTTTCTAGGTTAAAGTCTTAACTATGATTTTACTTCTGAATAAGAGAGTTGTCACTGTTGGCACTTTGAAGAAGTCCAGACAAAGTTTTCTGTGTGGATCTGTAAGAGATACATATTCAGGATTCTATACATTCATTATATTAAATAATTTATCTGTTGGGAGGTTATCACTAAAGCCACAACTTCATCTCAGAAATGAATTAGGTGTATTCGTTATTATAAAGCACTAGTTAAATGTGGCTTTGAATGTTTAGATTTTATCATTATTGTATTTAACATGCCATTGCATAACTTTAAGATCATAACTCTACAGTATTCACTTAGCCAATTCTGTTTTATTTTTCTAAGATAAGTCTTGACAATGTCTAGATCTGCCAGATACACACACACAAATATTAGAATTTTGCTTTGAAGACTTGAGCATTGTTGAGTTAAAGTCAACATGTTTAAAGTTTGTGTAACATAACAAAATAGAAAAATTATTACTAGAATTAGTTTTATCAGAAAATATTTTTGTAAAATGTCTAAGTTTATTTTGAAAATGAAGCTCCTTGGACTGACCCTTTGTGATATGTGAGAATCTACTTGCCTTTCTTTTCTCCCTAGAAATTCAGCTACTGTAAAGCCAGAAGAGGAATGTGAATTTTTGGTAGAGAAATCTTTTGATTTATCTTCTGTGTCTTGGGTTTCAATTTTTCGAAAGAAGCAAAAACCACAGAAAAAGAGAACATCTGCTTTATTTGAAGAAAATCGGGAAGCTCAGCAGCATAACAAGAGAAAAAATAAAAGGAAATTGGAGAAAACAGTTATGCCAATTCCAGTGCAGGAACTAAATGCAATATTATATGATGTTGGTGAAACAAGTTTTGATGGATTTCAAAATGCTTCAAGAATTAAACAAGTAATGGCTGTGGAGAATGATAAATCACAATTGGTTAGGTCTTTTGTTACCTCTCATGAAACAAGGAAGCAAATGCATTATAAAAATAAATATAAAGCTTTAGCAGAAATACATAACAGAACTTACCCAATAAGTAGAAACCAAGCAAAAGACCACATACCTTTACTAGAAGCAGAGCAAAACTTATCACTCCAGATACAACCTGTAAAAAAAGCAAAACGAAGCTCAACACGGAATAAGCTGACCACACAGACAAAAGTGCAAGATGAAAAACAAGAGAGTAGTGTCTTGGCTCTACCATCAAAGGACTGCACACAATCTAAGAATACAGATATTTATTCTGACAATTCAGTTTCTATGCCATGCTTTGTTCATGTAGCTCATAATACACTGGATAAAAAGTTACAGTTACCATTCAAAAAACAATCAGGGACTCAAAAGAAAAAGAAAAGATCCTCTGTTGGACCTATGAGGAAGAAGAATGGGCAATTAGTTTCAAAGGGGAGCCTTGAAGATGGTCATGGAGAGGAACAGTTAGCTAAAAAGAAGATTCTTCATCCTTTTAAGCTAAGAGCTGAGTTAAAGAGAGCAAAACCTCAAAAAGTAAAAGAGACTTCTTTGCCAAAGTCTCAGAATAATGTATTATATCAAGAAGATTCTTGTGAGCAGCATGTGACAAAAAAACATTTAAATGTTTCAGTAACACCACAAAACAATGAAGAATTTTTATCACAGTAAGTTAGGAGTGTACAATTATGTTTTAATACTGCTTTTTCTTAATGCAATGCAATTTTGTACATTGGGATTATTGATCAGCTTTGAGCAAAGCCATTAATACTCAGCCCAAGTGGTTAGACCTCTTCTGAGGTACAGATTGGGACTTCGATAATTCCCTGAGTACACATACCAATTACAGCCATTTTTCTTTTATTTAAAATAACGTATATGCTTGTATTCATCCCTAGGAATCTTTAGTCATTTTGCAACAGTTTTTAAAGTGCTAAAATAAGCTAAATGAAATAAAAGAAGAGATGGCTGAAGACTAGTAACAAAAAAAAGGAATATATAAAATTTACCTGAAAAACAATGATGGAGTTAGAATGGACCTTGGAGGTCTTCTAGTCCAACCCTCTGGTCAAGCAGAAAACCCAATACTATTTCAGACAAATAGTTGTTAAATCTCTTAAAAACCTCCAGTGTTGGAGCACCCAAAACTTCTGGAGGCAACTTGTTCCATTGATTAATTTCACTTTAGTTCTAGCTTGGTTCTTGCCTTGATTAGTTTCCAACCATTGTTCCAGAGCTTCGGGTGCTTTGGAGAATAATTGACCCCCTCTTCTTTGTGGCAGCCCTTTAGATATTGGAACTCTGCTATCATATTACCCATTCTTTTCATTAAACTAGACATACTAAATTCCTACAACTGTTCTTTGTATGTTTTATCCTCCAGTCCCGTAATCATCTTTGTTTCTCTTCTGTGCGATCTTTGCACTACAAACATCAGTATTGGCTTGGAATATTGTAATGGTTGGCATTGGAAAAGCCTTATATTCGTATTGTAGGCCTTGGAAAATTATTTTTTGAGGTGATCTGCTAGTTAAAGCCTTTGTAGATTAGGCCTTAAATATGGCTTGGACACAGACTGAAAAGCAGTGCAGATCTGTTAGCAAGATTTAATATCTATAAGATAAATTATGCCATGTTGATCTAACAGCATCAGTTCTAGCTAGTTACATCTTGCAGACCAGTCAGCTGTAGAACTTTGTTAAATGAAAATACAAGTAGTCCTCAACTTATGACCACAATTGAGTCCCAAATTTATGTTGCTAAATGAGATAGTTGTTAAGTGAATGTTGTCCCATTTTATGACCGTTCTCGTCACAGTTGCTAAGTGAATCAGTTAAGTTAAGTTAGTGACATGGTTATAAAGGAATCTGACTTTGCTTATCAGAAGATCACAAAAAGTGAAAAAGGAAGCTGATGTCATAGCAGAGCGGAGTAGGGGAAGCGGAGTTCCATTGAACCCATCTGATTTCTGCTTCTCTGGAAGCTCTCAATGGCCAAAGTCACCCTAGGGGATGATGAAGATAGAAGGAAAGCCCTGTAGATCATGAAGAGAAGTACAATCTCCCATTAGATTCAGGGAATGCCCCTCAAAATCAGCAGGAGAGAAGACAGCCACTATTTATTCCATCATTTTATATGAGATATTCCAAATTTTGTTTTAAAATTTGTATTATGCTTTCATCCAATGTTTATATATGTCTATATTATAATTTATATCAATCTATTAAACTTCTATTACTAAATATCAATCTATTAAAATCTATTACATTACCATGTCTTTTTGTCCAACCATTGATAAAACAAATCCCATATCATATAAAATTGTTTATCTTCTTATTCTCTAATTTCAAATGTCAATTTACTCATTTCAGCACAGTCCATAATTTTCTTAATAATTTCCTCCTGCATAGGTATTTTGCCCTCCCTCCCTCTCTGATACGTTTGATGATACAAGCTCTTTATTCAGACTGAATTAAAAATATTTCTCTGAGATGCTATGTGTACAATAAATAAGTGCAGATCTTCTATGAAAAGAATTTGGTTATGAATATTATTCCCAATGTCTGATTCATAGAAATACAGAACATATTCAAGAACCTAGGATGAAAAAATGGTGAACATGTCACATAATCCAGGTAAAGTTTTCCTGTGATGAAATTGCTTCTCGCTAGTTGTGGAATCTAGAGTTGAAAACCCATATCTTAGAGTTGCTAAGTTTGAAAAACACTGGTTTAGAACGATACGGAACATTCTGAAGTAATTTTTAGGGAAAGTCATGAAGTGATGTCAGAGAAATAGGTTCAGTATTGCACTGTCCTCTTAGAAAATAAGCCTGCTGATACCATTTTTGTATTTTATTTTTGTATTGTCCTTTTAAAAGAAAAACATTTTGAGAAATAAACCATGATCACTCCATAAGTAGAGTAGTATACATGGAAATGTATGTTTCCTGATTTATAGCTACATCAGGTGGTATAATTCACTAATATAATGATTTAATCTGATCTAAACTTTTTTTTTTAGTGACCAACTACTACCACCACTTTATAATAATGAAATGTTTAGAAGAAAATTGAATCCATATAATGCAGATGATTCTAATTCAGGTAACTTGACAAAGTTAATATTTGTGTCCTGTTTCTTTTTCTGGGTAGGATTGGATACTATTGTGGTTCATACAAATTGTTAAGATTGTGTGGTTTTATTTGGGTGTGGTCTATGCAGGCGTGGGATTCAAATTTTTAACAACCAGTTCTATGGGCGTGGTTTAGGTGGTGGGCATGGCTTGGTCATGTGACTGGGTAGGCATGGCTTGGTGGTCATATTATTGGCTGGGTGTGCCCAACTCAATATCATTCACACCAAGGCACGCATCTCCTCGTCTGGCCTCTCATGACTGTGGGGATGCTGCAACAGTCGTAAGAGTGAAAAATGGGTCATAAGTCACTTTTTTTCAGTGCCATTGTAACTTTGAATAGTCACTCCACACAAGCAAAGTACCAGCAAAGGAGGGGGGAAAAACTCCAGTAACATTTCTGAGACAGGAAGTCTAGTCCTACCAAGAATGTAATAAGTGTTAATGGACAGGCAGTTTCTGTAAGCATTACCAGAATGTTTCCTTCCTGCCTTCCTTACAGGATTAGGCCAGTAATTTCTTCTAACAACTGGTTCTCCGAACTGCTTAGAATGTTAACCGGTTCTAGAGAATAGGTGCGAACTGGTAGAATCCCACCCCTGGGTCTATGCATTATGCTTACTATTATATGAAGACCAAGCAAATATGGTCTATTCCCATGATGGCAAACCTATGGCATGTGTGCCAGATGTGGCATGCAGAGTCCTCTCTGGGAATGCAGTCCCCAGCCCAGATCCAATTGGGTTTCTCCATCGTGTTTCACTCAAATCAATTCCAACTTCTCCCGAAAGAAAAAAGATCTTGTGAAGTTGGAATTGATTGAGCTAACTTTTTCACTCATGCACTTCACAGTGGGGGAGATGAGGTCCTATCCTCCTGAAGCCCAATATGATGTGGAGCCACAATGCAACTCATCGTCAGTTTGGCAAAAGAAAAAGAAAAGCAGTTTCTTTTCCTGGAGTGCTGCATGTGTTGGGATGCCCTGCTTCCACACGGGCCAGCTGAGCTTCGACATGCTGCTCCTGGGCTCCTCGGCCTATGGACATCAGATTCCCACCACCCAGCATCAGTTCAGGGAGACAGAAACAGAGAGAGGGAGAGAAAGAGAGAGAGAAAAAAAAACGTGGGAAGAGGGAGGGAAAGAGAAATTATATTACAAAAGTTTTTCTTTTTTATTGTTGCTAAACATAATGTTTCAAAAGCAGAAAAAAGTTGTCCCAAAGGAGTCTTTAAGGGCTGAATTCCTAGAGGCAGGGGTTTCCTCTGCCTTTTGCGTGCCCACCCCGCACTGAAGCAATCTGCTCTTACTGGCCAGAGGTGTGGCTCCATGCCGCCACCTCCCAGCCAGAGTGCCACGTTTGCTTGTTTGCTGGTCCCCTCCAAGGAGGGAGCTGTGCTCAGGCTGCCCGGGCCCTGCCACTGGGGGGGGGGGGGGGGGGAGGGGGGCTCCCCGAAAGGATCCAGGTTGGAGTTACCTTGTTTTGTGTAGATCTTTAATGCTTGGCCTTGCCTGCCAGCCTCCCCTCCCCCTCCCCAGCCCAAGTGGTTGGATTCACGTGACATGTGAAGCTGGACAGGAGAGCACGGATAAATAGATAGGACAGAGAGAGAGATAAAGAGGGAGGGAGGAAAAGAGAAAGAAAGAGGGAGGGAAAGAGAAAGGGGGGGAAGAGAGATGGAGGGAAAGAGAAAGACGGGAGAAAGGGGGAAGGAGGGGGAGAGAGAGAAATGATAAATGATATTAAGTTTTTTTTATTGTTGCTAAATGTAATATTTCAAAAGCAGAAAAAAATGAAGGGGCATAAAAGTGCATTAATCACATTTTTCTTAGAACAATTAGCTGAACTCTGCGTTTATCATTATTTTAGGCAGTAAAACCTCATTCAGGTTAGATTGCTGTGTTGCCACTTTGTGATAAATAAGTGGGTTTTGGGTTGTAGTTTGGGCACTTGGTTTCTAAAAGGTTTGCCATCACTGGTCTATTCCATGGGTTCTCACATTATTGGTTCTGATCCTGAGCAAATTGTAAGCATAGTTGTGGGATGTTGCAGTTTTTAAACAAAGATATGAACGCTGAACTTAGACCTTTGAGTATCAGTAAACCTTCGAATGATTTTCCATCTGCTCCCTTTTCTTAACAGAGGCTTAAGGGTTTTATAAACTCATTATGCTGCATTTTTAAAACTATACTTATAGAACCTTGTTTTGAAATAAATAACTTGATTCATGCTTATCTATTTTACAAATAATTGAATTCATTTATTAGAATACAAACTATACAGACTGCAACCTCTCAATTGAGTTGCTTTTTCCCCCTCCAAATTGGCTGCTTTGAAACTTGTCATAGAGCCTCCTTGGAGGTTAAAGTGCTCTGATGTTATTCTGTCCTTGTTCTGAGACCTAATGTCAATTTTGTATCAGATAATTTGTTTGCATAATGGTTGTCGTATCTAAAATCCAGAAAGGTATTGCTGTCAGAGGATGGCATATATAATATTAGACAAAGAGCATGTGAAAATGCCTCTAAGGAGGAGG